AGGGCTCAGTGATTGCGTAGGAGCGTGTATGTTAAAACTGCTAAACAAGGTTAACGTGAATGAAGCCAGTTGGCGCAGAGAGACTGGAAGCCCCTCCTCACCTGGGTTTCACCCAACAAAGAGAACATGCGCAGAAAAGGCCTACAACACACAGATGTGGGCGGGGAGCGCCGTGAAAACGCACTACACGGGGCCATGGAGCTGAGGACCCAACTCTGGGGCTTTGCCCCAGCTCATTAGCCCTCCAGTCGTCTTGGGAATGCTTTCACTCATCCTCTGGACAGTCTCACTTTCTCTGACATCCCCTGTACCCTGCTGCCATGCACCGCCCATGCCCAACATGGTGGCTTTCGTAGATTTTAAAAAGGCATTGATTTCCCTCTTCATCTCCACTGTCCTTCCAGAAGCTTCTGAGATTTACCACTTGCCTGCCCAGTGGTTTTCTCTCAAACTCTAATAAAATAATCCTTGAGCTTCCTTATGAGTATGTTTCTTAAAAAATTATATATATATATATATACACATACATACATACACACACACATATATATATGTGCATATGTGTGTGCATATGTGTGTGTGTGTGTGTGTGTGTGTGTCTGTGTGTGTGTGTGCAAATGTGTTCCACGGTACATGCGTGGAGGTCAGAGGGGAACTTCCAGGAGTCAGTTCTTTGCCTCCACCATGCAGGTTCCAGGGGCCAAACTGAGGCTGTCAGGTGGTGGCAAGTGTCTTTAACTGCTGAGCCATTTTGCTGGCCCCTGAGGCCATTTTAAAACACTTTTATTAATGAGACTAAGAACCCACAAAAGGGAACCCTGAATTCCCCTGTCATAGTGAGAAGTGTCATTTCACTAGTGACAGGTGTGCCCACAAAGCCACGTCTTCAGCACTCAGCAGGTTGGAGGCTATTGGAATAAACTGATAAAGCGGTTCTGCGGCCAACGCTATTACTTGGGAGCGAGCTTGCAGTACAGCTCAGCTTATTTGGAGACTCAGAGGGAAGACTCCGGAGGTTTTGATTAATACATTAACATATGTCCCATGCTGGCAACACCACTCCCCTGTACTATTAGCATGCATGCAAAAATAAAAATTAATTTCGGTGGTTCCGTGAATAGACTGTAATTGTGAATGGAGTCTATTGTAAATGAACAAATCAAACATTCTTCTAAAAATACGCCAATAGAACTGGCTCCAAAACTGTGTGATGGTCCCCCAATGATCACAGAAACTAAATACACAGGTCCATGGGGTTAGTTTAGACATCAACTCTGGAAAGCAATTATATCACAGCTTACAGATTATTTCTAAAACCCACACAGAAGATCTATCCCTTAATTCTGGAGGTGACACAGTTTCTCAAGAATGTGAATGAAAGTACATGTAGTAGAGTCTGTGATGGCGCAGGGAAACCTTGGTACCAGAGGGCAAGACGATGCTTGCTTCAGTATTCCGGTCAACGACAGACAGCAGGGTCTTTTGCTGAAGGTCCTTTCAAGCCGTTTCCAGATCTAATCCCAACACTCTGAACTCTTCTCAGTGATTCCAGCATATAAGAGGCTGACGTTGCAGAGAGCCTCCGGGGTAGGCCCCTCCCTCACAGAAAACCAAAGCCGTCTTGTTTCCTGAGCCTTGATCTCTGAAAAGGGGCAGTGGGATGTGAGGGAGGATGAGGAGAGCGTAGGGCTGGGGTGTGGAGTTGGAAGGCTAGCCAATCCAGGGCCTGGCTTTCCACATTCCAGGTGACGACGCTTTCAGTGAACATGTCAGCATCTGGAGCCAGGCCCTGGTGACCCCCAAGAAACAGGAGGGCCGACAAGGAGAGTCCCGGAGTTTTTTCTGCTTTGTGTCATTTCTGTCTGGGTAATACCTAGTTTGCTGGTCTCTTCTGGGGACATCTGTCAATGTGCCCTGCAATTATGTCATCTGAACTCAAGGAGTGCTAAGTCCTCACTGTCTCAGCCTCAAGCTCAGGTGCTGGGTCGGTCTATGTGGACACCAGAGGAGAATTCATCTTTAGTTTCCTCTCCCTTACACTTGATAGGTTTTCCTTTCTACAGTCAATTTTAGTTTTACTGTTTTTCCCCCATAGCATTTGAGTCAGAAACCTTTGCAGCTTTGCCATGGTCTATACAACCTAATGAAACAAAGACTTGATTTCCAAGAAGGTTTGGAAAGTCTAGTGTGAGGAAGACGGGGTGGATTGGTATGTGTTGAATTTCAATGACTTTGTTTAACTTTTATTCTGGTTACGCCATTTCTTTAAGCCAGAGTTCCATGAGTCTGAGTGTGTATACACAGAAATAATCTAAGCAGCTTAGGAGGAACATCCAACAATGGCTTTTGAGCTTACCCCCACCCCACCCCCCACGCACACATTTGTATTTGCCTTTAATGAAACTAAAAATTATCAATCTGCACCTGCCCTTGGATCCTTGTGGATGATCTGTTCAGGATGAAGTCTCGAGACAGCCACAGATCTGAAGAAAACATGCTACAGTCCCAGGGGAGCCTGCTGGCTGGGCTTCCAGGCCCGCTCTCTCCAAACAATAAGAGGCAAAAAGCAAGAAGGCCGAGTTGGGTGGCGAAGCCAGTGCTTCCCATGGGCCTGCAGGTGGGTCACTCCCTGACCTCTGCTGTGACTTACTGGCATAGTAATGCCTACTCCTCTGAGCAGTGACTGGGTGGAGGCAGGTCTCTCTTCCCTGGCTTCTCTCACGTGCCCACCTCACCAAGCAAGAAGACCCATTAAGAGCAACAGTCAGGCACACAACTCCATGACACTGCTCTGGGTTTCGCTTGCCCTTTCACCCCAGCAAGGCAACTTCCGCCACACTATGTGGACTTTGGTAGAGACCGTAACTGTTGATGGTAAACTCCTTTGACGGTTTCCGTCAGGGGTGTCTTTGCTCCAATGGGGATTCCATCCCTGCTGCTGGGCCTCTGCCTCTGCTAGTTTAGGGGCGAGCAAAAGGCAGTGGGATGACAGAGTGGCGCAAGACGCCACTGCACCCTGGAAAATTTCAGCGTTGCTGTCAAGAACCAGCATTCTTGAAAGGAAGAGTGTGCACCGTGATTTAGTTGTGTTTTAAATTTTGTTAAAATATAACATAAAATACTGTTTAAATCATTTAAAAATGTACAGTTTGGTGATGTCAAGATGATGGACACTGCTGGGCGGTGGTGGCGCATGCCTTTAATCCCAGCACTCGAGAGGCAGAGGCAGGCGGATCTCTGTGAGTTCGAGGCCAGTCTGGGCTACAGAGTGAGATCCAGGACAGGCACCAAAACTATACAGAGAGAAACCCTGTCTTGAAAAACCACACACACACACACACACACACACACACACACACACACACACACACACACACACACACGATGATGGACATTATGGTGCAACTAACACCACCGTCAACTATCAAAACTCAACTTTTCCAGTCCACACTTGACCCTCTAGACAACAATCCCCACACTCTGCTCCTGCTGCTGGCAACTAGCATTCTACTTCTGGATGGCGTGAGTTTGACAACCCCAGATCCCCCATATGAGCATCAACACTGACCGTGTCCAGCCGATTTCACTTAGCATTACACAGATGGGGGGCAATTACTTCATCAACAGTGACTATTCTCAATTCCTAAAAATTCTAACACAGGAACTGCAAATCCCAAGTGCTACTTTGAGTGATAACATTGACCACAGCCGAATAAAATATTATAACTCATAGTACTTTACCACAGATTTAAAATGCTCAGCAATATTTCAGACATTTCCTGGACAGGACAGTAACATTACTGCAATTTTATATTCACATTTATTTCATGAAATAAAAGAAAAACACTTAAAATTTCTACATCGAAAGCTCAGAAACACACAACATGCTCACAGGCGTGTGTATAGATTTGTATGTCTACTTACGTGTATCCAAGTGAGCATATGCTTAGCCAAACTTAATTTTTTAAAAATCAGTGTCGAGTAAACTGTCCTTGTTTTTGGCAGGTAAGTAGTTGGCTTTTTGGAAGCTGACCTAAAAATATGCCAGTACTGAGGCCTTGGAAACATATAAAAGCTGAGCCTCGCAGACGGATTGGTTACCGGAGGTGTGCCTCCCTTCACGAGTCTCTTGTAAATGAAGCTGCATGTCGGTGGAGCTGGGAGAGATGCTACTATGAAGATTGGCCTTGAAAAGGAGAGACAGATTCTCCAACCCGGGGGAAAGACTTTCCCTTTTGACACATCAAATATGACAGGTACACCTGTCAAGGGACTGTGGCCTTTGTTTCGAGCTAATAGCCACGCTATTACTCTGACCTTCTGAAGACCAAGGGCAAACAATGGCCAGCACGACAGGAGGAAAGCTGGCGAGTGGTAAGGCTGAGCTTCCCAGCTGAAGCTGCCACGCAGGCCATAAAGCTGTTTTTGGAGACACATGTCAGTACGTTAAGTACAGGTTCCACTTTTTTGTGTTTGTTTGTTTCATTTTGATTTTTGTTTTTTGAGAACAGAGTTTCTTTGTGTAGCCCAGCCTGTCCTGGAACTCACTCTGTAGGCCAGGGTGGCCTTGAACTCACAGAGATCCATCTGCCTCTGTCTCCCGAGTGCTGGGATTAAAGGCGTGCGCCACCACTGCCCGGTCAGATTCTACATCTTAATGTATTTAACATTAAAGCACATGGTTTCTTGCTGTCACCGCTCACCCCTCCCACACACTGAGTTAAAGCAGTGATTCTCAAAGGGAGGGCCTTGGAGCAACCATACCAGCATCACCTGGGAACTGTGAGCAAAGCAGATTGCTGGCCGGCACCAGATCTACTGGCTCAAAACTGCTGGTGTGCTTCTGACAAAGGCTAGTGCCTGAGAACCACCAAGCTAAGGAAGCACTAGTATAGGAATTTCGGCCCCATTTACAATTCTCACGATGGTTGGTGTGCTTGGGTTATTGGTGTTATTTACCCCTGTTTAGTTAAGGAAAAGAAATCTTAGTACAAACTTACATATAACTTCCCCAGGTCCTGTCCTGGCTTCGAGTCTTAGGAGGCCGGGAACTGGGCAGAGGAAGAGATGAGAAGGCTACAGCAATCCATTCAGACATGGACCCCAAAGCTCAGCGAGGCAACCTTGTGATAGATCAGTGAGTGTCCACCTAGACCCAAAAGAAAAGTCCATTACTGGAGTAAATGTTTCACATGGCCATGCTCCTGCCTCACAACCCAGTGCTCCACCATGATTCTGGTGTGCCTCTCAACCAAACCACTTAAACTGAGTATGACAAAATCACCCTGGGTATCAATATCTGGGCTCTACGCAGGTGGCAGACCTTTTCTCTAGGTTTTCTACAGGTAAGCATCTCTTCAGGTGTTCTCCTGAACCCAAAGACAGCTTGGGGTAGCCAATATCTAATGCTCCTGTTATCTCCTGATTCATCTCAGAAGGCTTTCTTCAACAAATCCAAACACCCCAGGTTAGAGACCTAAGTGGAAGTCCTAACTAAAGGGATTCTAGAAGTAGTTAACTTGTGAATTCTGACGAATGTGTTCATTTTCAACCTCATATCCTCATATCAGACTTTCATTCATAAAATCAGAAATACTTATTTTCTCTGATGATGAGTTAATAAATGTTTATTGCAAAATACATAAAAACAGGCCAGCGTATAAAGAAAAAAATAATGAACAATGGTAATCTTGACCGGTAAATTACTAAGGGTATTTTGTTGTTTAGGCTTATAGGCCCTTCACTCTAACTCCTGCACTTGGATAACTGCACAATTGGGCTTTGGTTTTGATTTGAGAGTACAGGATGCAACTGCCACCATATTATCCTTACATGTGTGCAGCCAATCTTATTATCCAAGCTAAGCAGCCCACAGTGAAGGATGGTCAATGTTTTTATGCAAAAATAAAGAGTGACTCATTAACTGGGACAAAATAACATCTCACATTAATTCAGGCAAGGTTTTTCTACCAAAGAAGTTTACACACAGACACAGACACAGACACAGACACACACACACACACACACACACACACACACACACACACACACACAGAGACACATACACAGGCACAGACACACACACCCAGAAACAAACATACATGCCACCCTGAAAACCTGTGATTTTAGAATTGGGTTGTGGACCAGTATTCTTTTCAGATACACAAACATACTTGAAGATTTTTTTCATAACTTTTTTATTTAATTATGAAATAAAATGTGAGTTACATCAGTGTTATATAGTTATTAAAACCTGCTTTTAAATATCTCTGCAGTACTACAATACTCCACAGAAACACATTTTAACTATTTCTCTCAAAGTGACACCTAAAAGAGTCATATGAGCTTCAGGCTACCTCAGTTTCTGACCATTCTTTGGGACACTAGAAAAAACAATTACCAGGCTGGTGATTTGAACTCAAGGGTGTCCTGATGAAGTATTTTTTTCTTTAATTTTTTTTTGAGATTTTATTTATTTTTATTTTATGTGTATGAGTGTTTGCCTGAATGTATGTCTGTGCACCACACATGCATCACATGCCTGAATGTATGTCTGTGTACCACACATGTACCACATGTCTGAATGCATGTCTGTGTACCACACATGCACCACATGCCTGAATGTATGT